CAGATAATGTTCATCGTCCCCATTGGGTAGGTTTTTGCCCAAACCTCTTTGCCCATTCCCCCTGCTGGATTTCCATTGAGTTTTAATGCCCTCTACGGACATGCTGCTCATCAGTTAGTTCCAATTTAATAATAAGTACATGTAGCATTTGTCCCTTCGTTAGATACTTCACTAAGGATAATGGTCTCTAGTTTCATCCAAATTATTGCAAAAGACATTAATTCATCCCATTATATGGCTGAGCAGTACTCCATGGTGTACATAATACCATTTTTTCATAATCCACTCATGAATTGATGGGCATTTGGGTTAATTCCATATCTTTGCAATTGTGAATTGTACTGTAATAAACATTCCAGTTCAGATGTCTTTATGATAAAATGATTTCATTTTCTTTGGGTAAATACCCAGTAGTGGGATTGCTGGATCAAAAGGTAAGTCTACTTTTAGTTCTTTGAGGAATCTCCATATTATTTTCCATAGAGGTAGTACTAATTTGCAGTCCCACCAACAGTGTATAAATGTTTCTTTCTCTCTGCATCAACACCAGCATGTATTGTTTTTGGACTTTTTAATAAAAGCCATTCTGACTGGGGTAAAGTGATGTCTAATTGTGGTTTTAATTTGTATTTCCCTGATGATTAGTGACATTGAGCATTTTGTCCATCTGCTTATTGGGCATTTCTTCTTTTGAGCGGCTTCTGTTTATGTCTTTTGCCCACTTTTTAATGGGGTTGATTTTTTCTTGCTTACTTGCTTGAGTTCTTTGTAGATTCTGGTGATTAGTCCTTTATTGGATGTATAGCTTGCAAATATTTTCTCCCATTCTGTAAGTTGTCTATTTGCCCTGTTGATTATTTTCTTGGCTGTGCAGAAGTTTTTCTTAATTTAATCAAATCCCATGTATTTATTTTTTTTGTTGCTGTGTTACAATTGGGGTTTCTTTGTAAATTATTTGCCTAAGCCAATGTCTATAAGAGTTTTTCCAACATATTTTTCCATAACTCTTATAGTTTCATGCCTTACATTTAAGTCCTTTGCTCATGTTCAGTTATTTATTTTGAGTGGTGAAAGATATGAACCCTGTTTCATTCCTCTGCATGTGGCTATCCTAGTTTTCCTAGCACCTTTTGTTGAAAAGGGTTTCTTTTCCCCAATGTATATCTTTGCTTTGTCAAAGATCAGTTGCCTATAAGTGGATGGTTTTATGTGTGGGTTTTCTTTTCTGTTCCATTGGTCTATGTTTCTATGTCTGTCTTGTTGTGCCAATCCAATGCTGTTTTGGTTACTATATCCTTGTAGTATAGTTTGAAGTCTAGTAATGTGATACCTCCAAAATTGCTCCTTTTGCTTAAGATTTCATTGGCTATTCGGGCTCTTCTTCTCTGGTTTCAAATGAAAGAATTATTTTTTCTAGATCTGTGAAATATGATATTACTTTAATGGGGATTGCATTGAATCTGTAAGTCACTTTGGATAGTGTGGATATTTTAACAATATTGCCTCTACCAATCCATAATAAGCATGATATGTTTTTCTACTTGTTTGTATTCATCTGTGATTTCTTTCCACAGTGTTTTGTAGTTCTATTAGTAAGGATCATTCGCCTTTGTTTAAGTATATTCCTAGGTATTTTATTTTCTTTGTAGCAATTGTGAATGATACTGAGTCTTTGGTTTGACTCTCACCTTGACTGTTATTTGTATATAGGAATGCTATTGATTTGTGTACATTGATTTTGTAACATGAGACTTTGCTGAATTTATTTATCAATTCCAGGAGTCTCTTGATGGAATCTTTGGACTTTTCCAGACATAATATCATATTGCCTGCAAAAAGTGATAGTTTTATCTCCTCTTTCCTGATTTGGATACCCTTAATTTCTTTTTCTTGCCTGATTGCTCTGGCTAGGACTTCTAGCATTACGTTGAATAGAGGTGGTGACAGTGGGCACCTTTGTCTTGTTCCAATTCTTAGTGGGAATGCTTTCAACTTTTCCACATACAGTATGATGTTGGCTTTGAGTTTGTCATATATGACTGTCATAATTTTGAGATATGTCCTTTCTGTGTCTAGTTTGTTGAGAGATTTTTATCATGGAATTATGCTGAATTTTGTTGAATGTTTTTTTTCCCCATCTATTGAGATGATGAAATGATCTTCATTTTTGCTTGTTTATGTATTGAATCACAATTATTGATTTACATATGTTTGACCATCCTCACATCCCTGGGATGCAGCCCACTTTGTTGGTGGATTCTTTTTTTGATGTGCTGTGAATTCTTTTTGCTAGTATTTGATTGAGGATATTTGCCTCTATCTCATAAGGGATATTGGTTTGTCATTTCTTTTTTTGTTGTGTCCTATCCTGGCTTTGGTATCAAGGTGATGCTGGCTTCATAGAATGAGTTGGGGAGGATTCCCTCCTACTCTGTGTGATGGAATAATTTCTGCAGAATGGGTCCCAACTCTTCTTTGCAGGTCTAATAAAGCTTGGCTGTGAATCCATCTGATCCTAGGCTTTTTTTCTTGTTGTTGTAAGTTTGTTTTTTTGTTTTTTTTCAATTGCTGCTCTAATTCCTGGCTCATTGATCTGTTCGGTAGTTCTATTTCATCCTGATTAGGGTTAGTGTTACAGTTAGTGTTACGGTTGTATGTTTCCAGAAATTGGTCCATTTCCTTTACATTTTTATATGCATAGAGATTTTCATAGTATTCACAGATTTTATTTTTTATTTCTGTGGTATCATTTATAATATGTCCTTTTCCATTTCTATTTGAGCTTATTTGGGTCCTTTCTCTCTATAGGGAAGTAGTCTCCAAAGTATTTGAGTTTCATAATCTTATTAATACAGATATTTTGCAAATATAAGCATTTATATATTTATTTATATGAAAACCTGACTTTATATATTAGAAGCATGCTAAAAATACACAAAATAGAAATTAACAAAATAAAATTAAAATGTAATCTATAGTACCTTAAATATTTAAAATTTTATTTAATGTATGGTACAATTTTTAAATTCAATATCATGGTATTTTAATATATTAATAATTGTATTTTAATGAGAATGCTCAAAAATATTTTATTGTTTTTGAAAAGTTTGGTAGTATGTTTAGTTTTTTCTTGCATTTGGTTTTAAAAGTGGCCTTATACAAAGGAAATAATATCTTCCCAAACCACATTGGTTGAAAAACAAAGTGTATTGTTGGTTCCCCTGTTATTTTCAGGAATTATTCCAGCCATTTTAAAGAGCAGTTAGAAGTGGAAATACTTCCTCAACAAAGGTTATTTATTGCCTTTGGATAATTAATATAAACAATTAAATGAGTTTAGAATTTGTTACCACTGTATTTAAACATTGTTGGAACAATATATTCTCTTGTTTGTTTGGGTTTTTAAAATTTTTTTAAATGTCTTACTAATTGTAATGATACCATGTTTTCATTTGCTGATATCTCAAATCATAATATATACTTCAGGTACACTTCATCATTAAAAAGAGATGTAAATATTTCAAACAGCAAGTTCTAATTATTTGGGTGATTTCTTATCATCTCTGAGGAGATTGTCATTATTTTTGCCTGTCATGTGGCTACTGAATAGTTCATTCTAGGAACAGGACAAGTGTCGGTTCCACAGTACTTCCTTAGCTTTCAGTGTATCGTGATGTTTTTACTTTATATATGTCCATTTCAATATGTATCATGTTATTTCATATCAATTAACTAACAATATTTTGACATGTACCCCTGTCAATCATTCTGCACTACCACTCTCATTTATTGCTTGAGAATCCTAGCGCACCCTGAATGGGTATTACAAAGAGATAAAGTCAGAGTGCTGGATGACAATCTTAATTTTCTATTACTGTTTCAATCTCACTACTCATTATTGGTCTGTTTGGGATTTCTATATTCTTCCTGATTCAAACATGGGAAGTTGTGCATTTCTAAAAATTTATCCATTTTCTATATATTTCATAGTTTGTGTGCATAGACGTTTTCATAGTAGTCTGGGGTGATAATTTTGTATTTTGGGGGTATCAGATGTAAGGTTCTCTTTTTTATTTCTGATTGAACTTATTTGAATCTTTCCTTTTCTATTACTGGTTAATCTAGCTAGTGGTCTATCAATTTTGAAAATTTAAAAATGTTTTCCTAGAATTTCTTTAAAATAATATAAAAACATTTTAAAATTCTAACATTTTCTTCTTTTCTCATATTGGTTCACCTTCACCTTGAGCATCCTTGAGAGTTACCCAAATAAAATCAGAGCTTATATAATAGGTTTCAGACTGTCAGTTGTTCTCTAAGTTCCTTTTTAATGTGTAATGAAACATTTTATATATCCTGCAAGGTTATTCTCTTAAGGTGTAGGAAACAGTTTTTTCCTTTGGAATATTTTAACTCTCCTAGAACTACACCTGACACATGGAGCTAACTAAAAGGAGTTTACTAATCCATCTGCCCCTTTTGTTTGAATCCAGAGGACTAGTGGTGATGATTCTGGGTTCCTTTATATTTATGAATTTATATTTTCCATAGAACATAAAAAGATATGACAATCAAATTCCACTTATTGCCAAGGGATAGCCTAGTTGCCTTGGGAAAATTTGCAAGTAAATTATTAAAATAATAATTTCTCAGTTGTAAAAATATCATATTATAGAATCATTGTTATTTTACATAATTGTAGTATAGGAATTACATTTTATGATTTGAATGTAAGTTACACATATTTTTAAGGGTATCATATTTTAATATTTTTTAACTTTAATTGACCTAAATTTAAAATGTCTTAATTCTATTACTTTACATTTTGGCCAGTGGGTGTCATTGGCAAAAATAAAGAAAGAAGATAAACTAAAATTTAAAATAGACTAGGAGAAATATAACAAATCAAATTTGACAGTATTGCTCCGATCAACAAAGCTTGTTAATATCTATGGCAAATAACCAATTGACAGATGGATAGATGAACTGATGGGGAAATGAATAAATAGATAAATAGATATTGTTCAAAATGCTAGATACATGTATGTTAGTCATTCAAAATAATAAAAGATATTGATTTTAGAAGTCCCATTTTCATCACTAGTACCAAGGCAAAATCAGTTACAGAGTCTAGAAATTGCATTAATGTTGCTACCATGTAATATCTAGTTTTTTCTCAGTTTACCAGACATTATTTACTTCTTTATACACTTTTGTGGAGACAGTTAAAATAATTTTCAGCATTATCACCAAATATAAACATTTCATCCCTTTGAAGCCTGATTATCTGGCATTAATATTTGCTTTGAAACATAGTAGATGATTAATAATTAAATGTTGAATGATGAATTACCCCTTAATATGTGAATAGATACCACTCTTCTTTAAAAAACAAAAAACTTTCTCCCAACTGATGGAACATTTGTTCATTGATATTTGGCTGGCTAAATAAAAAGCTTAATGAGGTCAATTTCCAGGTCATTTTTGTTTCTTGCTCTATGTTCAGTTGTTTAATGCCCAACAGTGCCTGGTAAAGAATGGCCATCAAATAACAACTGATTTTTTCCTGGAAAATTATTCATCCACTCAAACCTAGCCTACTTTTCTGGTCAACATACCACATGTGTAAGCTTCCCAAGTCTTTTCATTCATTAATTCATCCTGCTCAGATTACTTTACATGATACCTTACGGAGGCAGTAACATATTGATGACAAGAACTATTCTATCCAGTAGACATTGTAGGCATAGTGCTGCTGTTTATGAATTTTCAAGGGAGTGTACAAATATTTAATGTCTGAAAACAAACTTCTGACTCAAAAACATGAAGATAAAACTATATAAAAACCCAAACTTAACACTTAAATAAATGTATTCTGAAGCAATAGCCTGCTAATTCCTTGTTCTTACTCCTACCTGTTATATCCTCCATACTGAAGTCAAAGTCACTTTTCCAAAGTATTGTGTCTTATCCATTACTCTTCTGTTTAAAATTACGCTGTACTTTAATGCAATTAAATTTGAAGAAAATCATTACCATTAGGCTATATGATGTGGCTCCTGACTACTTTTCTGACCTGTTTTCTACAGTTTTCCCTCATTCTCTCCTCTGAAAACACACTGGACCTCATGGAATGGCTCTAAGTCTTTTTATAGATAGTTTTTCCTGAGTTTCGCTATCCTGATATCTTTATCTGGCTACCTCTACTCATGATTTAAGTTTCAGGTTAAAGTGTATTTCCTTTGATAGAATTTCTTTTACTACGCAACTAGATCAGCTTTCAAACCCTCATCAAGGCATTCTCTACCTCATTATGCTTCTTAAATTTTTCATAGCCTTTAGGAATTCCATACAGGGATATATGTACTTACAGATGAATTTTAGTCTCCTTTACATAGAATGCAAGCTCCACAGGGGCTTTACCCTCTTCACTGTTGCATCATGAATGGCTAGAATAGTGCCTGGAATTTAGCGACAGTTCAATAAGTATCTTTTCTCTAAAAAATTAACAAATAAAAATGAGTTTTAAATTCAGACCAGAGGATGAAAAAGTTATTTCTGCTAAGATTTTTTTTTCAGTATTTATAGCTGTCATATATCCACTTCTAAAATTCTCAAAAGGAGCATTCTGCTGAATATATAAACTTTAGTGAGGCTTCTTCTATGCATATGTATCATGGGTATAATTTAATTGTGTATTTGATAAAATTATTTTTAGGGCCATATTTATTTATGTCTGGTTATGATTCTACATTTCATTTTATCTGACCTCATTAGTGAATTTCACAGTTTATTCAGGACAGTTTTTCTCATGTGTATAAGGGACCTGGTAATTCAGTGAGAATTGTATTGTGTTGATGCTTTTTGAGATATCTAGAAAATAGGGTTAATGTAACTTCAATCACATTTTATCATAATTATTTTCTTCTGTCTGCCACTGAGGTTCAAAATCTTGGGTTCGACTCTTGCTACTAGAAATTTTTAAGATACTGAAAAGTTAAGGTATCGTAATTTTCCTGAGATTTTTTTCCTAAAGTGTGAAATACTTTAGAATAGATTTTTCCCCTAAAGTATACTTTTTCAAAATTATGAATTCTTTCCTGTCTTTAAAATTGGATTATTGTAATGCTGCCCTTAAAACTTCCTAAAGTAGATCTTATATAACTTCTTTTGTAGTCTGTATTAAATATCATTGTTTCCAGTGTATTCCACGCCAAGCTGTTGTTTGTGCCCTATATAGAATAAGGGTTTATCTTCTTTCCATGCTCCACCTCTTGCAAAGAGAGCAGCTGTTGTCTTGTAAAAGAGTGCCAAATTTAAATTCTAAGCACTTGGAGGCAGGACAGGCCCTACTCAAGGCCTTCATTTTCTAGAATTCTATGCCTAAATGGGCTGGGAAAAACTAGTTAACATCAAGTGTGGCATGAGTCGTGCATCAAACTTATTTTACTTGGATAGGATATTAACTATTTGCCCCAAAGCACAAATACAGTAACTAAAACTCTGTTAATTGCACTGTATTTCATACATATAGAGTCACAAAAGGTTTGATTTAGAGGTTTCTGGGAGACCAGAGTTCAGAGCTCTCCTCTGAATAAGTTTGGAGTATACTAATTCCATTTGTGGGGGCAGCACATACACAGCTCTAATGCCTCAATGTACTTCTCTCCACACAAAAATGTACAGTTACTTGCAATTATAAGGGTTTACTGGTAAATATACATACTTATCATTGGTGCACACAGGTGTGTTTTTTTGTGTGTGAAAATTTTTTTAACATTCAATTACATTTCAAACACCTGAGCATAATATGCTTTCTTGATAATACAAATAAGGTCATAGGTTTGGTTATGTGTAAAGCTAATACCTGTAGTAAACACCTGCTAACAGGCAGTGCTCTATGCACTTTATATAGATCACTTAATCTCTATAATATTTTGAGAAATAAGGATTAGCCACAATTAATAGGTAAGAAACAGAATCTCAGATACTTTACATAGTTTACCCCAAGTTACACAAAAGTAATCTATAGCCAACATTTTAATCCAGGATTATCTAATTCCAAGTGTATGCTGTTTCTACTAGGTTAACTGCCTGTCAAGAAATGATAGTGCATTTGATGTGATGTGCACTAGTATACATAAACTACATAGTTTCTTATCCCCTAATAGAAGCCCCAAATCCATCAATGTTTCTTAGAATGACAGCTTTCAATAAACCCTAAGATCTTCTTTAAAGTAACTAAGGGTTGTATTTCCTAGTTTGTATGACTATGGTCCTAATTAATTAACTACCAATGAAATATATTTAATACATTATATGCATGCACATCATATACTTACAAAATAAAGTCTACATAAAAGCAAGTGCACAATATATAATAATGTGAGCTCCAAAAAATATTGTGAAAGAAAAGTTAGGACCTGAACCCTTAAATAAAAGTATAAATTAAAATTCTATCTATTAAGAGTTTTTAGAAGGACACTATGAAGTGAACTTACAATAGAAGAGCTCCATGACGGCTACAAAATTTAGCAGCTATCTGTACTGTGTTCATGGGCATTTTAAAAAATCCAACTGATAGACTTCAAAGTGAGGACTCTTTATTATACATAAAGTCCTCAACTAGAGCATATTTTCAATTAAATATCTCTTATTATGAAATGTATACTGTCTGAGTATTGAAAACTTGCTACGTGTTTAATCCAATCCACATATCATTACTGTACTTCTAAAAGAATCTTTATATTCAAATACAGAACATGTTAAATATTCTGCTAAGAAATGAATACTAAAGAGGAAGTAATTTTGCTTCCACATAAAGATTATTTCAAACTTATTTCCTGTTATCCATATGCCTACTTTAAAGAAAGAAAAACTGACAATTATATGCCTGCCATTTACTCAAATACTGCAGAGCACATGTTTTCAATTACACTTTGCAATGTAATCAGTTTATGTGTTGTGTCCTTTATGTCCTTTATTTTCTCTACAGCTGCTTTGCAAAAGTAAAAATCTGGAAACTACTCAATCTAAGAAAATGAATTGAATAGCATTTTATCAGAAACTTAATCAGATTGCAAATATAGTCTTAGTATGACAAAGATATTTTATATAATTTCATTGAGATCATGAACTGATTAATAGTCAAGGAAAATGAAAAGGTTGACGAATTACAGATATTTTATCCCCTCTTCTCACTTTGTACATGTAGGTAAAGAACAACTGCTGATTTTTCTTTGCAAAGATGGCATAAGAAAAATGGGAAAAAGTAAACCCTAGACATGATTTATTAAAAATATTATAAAGTTACACTCTAGAATATATTTCACAAATAAAACATGAAATCTCTTGTTCCAAAAATCTACATATCCCACAATCAAAATTTTACTTCAGCAGAAGCTGCATCCACATTAGCATTTCAATGGTGGCATATTTTCATTGTACTATTCAAATCACTTTAATCTCCCTCTTTATTTCGGTAGGGAGAGCATCAAATTATGTGAGACTGATACTTTCTACAAAATTCATACAGCTTAAAGAAAATGTAAAGATAGAGTCGATGCAAACAGTTTATTATATTTTTCTTTCATTCCTAAAGAGTGACTACACTGGTTAGAAACCTTAAAGGGATCCCTATACTTACTAACCAAAGTCTTTACTAGTATCACACTCATGTGCTACTTTACAATCTCACCAACAGCTCTCCTTTAGCATAACCCTGTCTTTCCAATTCAATATATGCTATACGTGTATGGATACTCGATGTTTCTTAAACAGGTCTTGCATTCTCTCACTTTATTTCAAACTTTCAATCACAATGCTGCTAGCTTCCCATGGAAATTATCTCTCCATTCTCCATTTATCCAGATTTTAGCCACTGCCAACACTTCATGTGATACCTTCCATAAATGTTTTTAGATCCTACTTCCTAAACTTATTAGAAGAATTATTACCCACCTCTGTATGTTCAGGACATCTCTTATTATTATTACAGCCATTGTTAACCTTCCTTATACTTTCCCTCAGAAATACTTGTCTCTCCTTTAAAGTTAGGGCTGCTTGAAGGCAGAGGCTTTGCCTCAGTCATCTTCATATTCTTCCAGCACTTACAATGTTGCAGAATGTTGTAGCTTCCAAATGATTACTTCATTTAAATTTTAAATAATTTTCTTCAGAGTCGAGATTAGGCTACCTTTGTTATTCTAAATAATTTCAACATTATAAACAAAATAAAGCACTGCTTTTTAAATAAGTGCCCAGATGTTGAGCATCTGGACCCTCTATGGTCAAAACAGTTGAAGTAACCCAAGTGCCCTGCCAACTGGAATAATTTGTATAAAGAACTGCACTGTTAACCTCATTCTTGGAGTGTTTTGCCAAGTTTAGTGGATAAAAATAGCTGCATTATACTGTGACAACTCTTTTCATATTCAAACTTGGTAACTGATCTAGTTGAGAAAAGACTAGGCAGAAAATCACAATATAGTAAGGTAATTCCTATATTTTTTTTGTGGACCACCTTGAGAACATGTAGGCAGAACACTTAACCTGAATTTGTGGGGTGAAAGAAGGCTTACTGGAATAAATGACATTTGTTCTACAACTTGAAGGACAAGTAGAGTTAGTTAAGTGAAGGGGGTCTACCCAAAGTCACTAGCAAAGGAAAAATAGTAAGAGAAGATGCCATGGCCTAGGATATAGAAGATATCAGCATGACTGGAATCTAGAATATGAAAGTAGCAGGCATGACAAAGAAGGCAATACAGATGTTAAAGGCCCTTGAAACCAGTTGAAGAAGTTTACACTTCAATCTGAAAGCAATGAAAGGCATTGGATCTTCCAAGGAAATGGAATTATTAAAATTATTTTCTAAAAATCACTTTAGGCTGCACTATAGATAATGAGTGGATCAAGAACGTTAAGGATGAGGTAAGCATGAGAAAGATGTAGTTAGCACTGATCTTGGTTTGGGTAGTGGAAGAAAGCAGGAGATAGAAAGTGTTAGAGTGATTATACAAGTGAACAGGTGTATTGGATAGGAATGGGAAGCTACTGATGACTCCCAGTAGTGCAACTTTTGCACCTGGGAAGATAATGGTGCCATCCAGTTGATAAAGCCAGAAATGCAAGAATAGAACAGTTTAGGGGCAAGAAAATAATTTCAGTTTTGGACCTGTTGAGGTTTATGCAGATTTCAGGAAAGCCAAAACATGTGGGTCTAGAAATTAGCTAAGAAGTTTATGACTAGCCATATAGATGTCAGAGTTACCTGTATATAAAAATTAAGTAAACCTGAGGAACACCAACATGGAAGGGCTGAGAAGGACATGCAATTCCAGAGGAGAAGGGCTTCCCAGAGAGTTAGGAGGAATTCCAGGGGAGTGCGGTTTCATGAAAGCCAAGAAGAAAATCAATTGAAGAAGCAGAGATGCTCATCAGGATCAAATATTTCTAAGAATTCTGAGGCCATTGTGAGTTTAGTTTAATGGATTGG